GAGTCAGAAGACATGAAAGCCAGAACTAGACTTGTATCTATTCTTATCCCCACTTAGGTTTGGGCCATCCATTTCAGCTTTTAAATTTTTATTTTGTTTGGATATAGAGTAGGGTGGATAATATATTTAACCTTTCTAATTTCCCAGGATACGACAAAGGCAAATGAAACAGTGGAATTAGTGGGAAAACATCCTGTGTGTCATTGTTTTTAAGAACAATACTGGCCATGTTTATTCCTGTATTGTACCCAGAGGCTTAGCAATGCCGTCACAGCGCCAGGGCTCCACATCCCAACCCTTCTCTGGCTCTCAGATTTCCCTGGAGCAGGTCATCCTCTGTGTTTTCAAGGTTGAGTTATAGGAGTTTTTCCTTTTACTTGCCAATGCCTGTGGTACAGCTCAGGTTTCCAGCATTGTATTATATTCCCATAGTCCCCAGCCCTGGGCAGAAGCCATGTTTAATCCTGTGTTTGGCTGACCATGACAAGCTGTTGGTACCCAATCGATGTTAAAGGAGCCTGACTGAATCGCTTCTTTGCTCCTGTGTGTTCTGACTTGACCTGAAATCATTCAGTCTCATGAGTTTGGGGTCTTTTCTGGAGCCCTCTGAAGTTCCTTGGGAATTGTTTAGACCTCCTCAGCAGAGAGCAGTTAAAATAAGGTAGACGACAAGACTTCTGTGAAGCTGGTGAAAATGTTAACTGCGTTGTGTTGGGATGAGACAGTGGTTGGGGTGGAAGATTTGGACTCTGCTGCCACTAACAAGCCGCCAGCTCTAGTTTCCCCAATATGACCAAGGAGGAGGCTAGACTCGGGGATCTTTAAGGTTCCTTGGGGGCTGTTGTCTGTGTAGAGCTGCTAATTCCAATTTAATGATCTAGGTTCCAGTCTGGCCTCTGCAGGGTATTCAGGAAATCATTTTACATTTCTGAGCCTCAGTGTTCTCATCTGTAAGATGAGGATAATAATACTTGTAAGATTGTGGTAAAGATTAAATGAGACAGGCGCCTGGGTAGCTCAGTTGATTAAGCACCTGACTTCAGCTCAGGTCATGATCTCACAGTGCGTGAGTTCAAGCCCCATGTCAGGCTCTGTGCTGACAGCTCGGAGCCTGGAGCCTGCTTCGGATTCTGTGTCTCCCTCTCTCTGACCCTCCCCTGCTCGTGCTCTGTCTCTCTCTGTCTCAAAAATAAATAAAATATTAAAAAAAATAAAAAAAAAAGATTAAATGAGACAAACCATATATATTATCTAGGGCTGTGTCTAGTGCCCTGTGGGTTCTCAAAATATTCTTGCCTATCCTCTTCCTTTACTCAAACAGGGGTAAATGAATCTCAAAAAAACCCTTTAGCTAACTAAGGCTTGGAGTACTCTCTAATAGGGATACTTCTATTCTTTTTTTTTTAAATTTTTTTTTCAAACGTTTATTTATTTTTGGGACAGAGAGAGAGAGAGCATGAACGGGCGAGGGGCAGAGAGAGAGGGAGACACAGAATCGGAAACAGGCTCTAAGCTCTGAGCCATCAGCCCAGAGCCTGACGCGGGGCTCGAACCCACGGACCGTGAGATCGTGACCTGGCTGAAGTCGGACGCTTAACCGACTGCGCCACCCAGGCGCCCCTACAAGGGATTCTTAAAGATGGTGTCAACGAAAACAAATCTGAACTTAGTAAGGAGAGGCTTTATTTGAAGGATTGTTGCAAGGGGGGAGAGACTATTTTAATTGGGAGAATGCCCTGACCATGAGATCTGCAAATGTCTAAAGAGTTAGGCAAAAAGGGGTCTCCTTTCATAGAAAGGAGTAAACAAAGCCAAAAAGAACTGCATGTGATGAAGTGGGATGAAGGGGTTACAGGATCAGATAGCAGATCAGGGAATATTTTACCCTGAGGCCATCCTGTTCTCAGGGGGGCTTTGTGCTGGCTCAGGCTGAGGTTGGCCAAAGTTCAGGGGCCTGGAGGAAGGAGATAAGCTTAACTAAAGTTTGGTTAACAATCATTATATCCAGTTGATCAATGGGGATGAAATAGTTCAGCTAATCATTTATGAGGCAAAGAATGGAAGTTTGGAGGGAGGGTCAGTGTCCTAGCTTTGTCATAGATAAACAAAGGAGTATCCTTGAGTCTTACCTAAGTCATTTGATGAAGGGTGGTTTTTGTAGTAAGCTGTTTTCCAGAACACCATAGGGCAGGGGACTTCTCAACCTTCAAGACTTTCCAGGAGTACAGGGCTCAGGTAAAATTCAACATTGTCAGTGGTAAAACCTTCAGGATCCAAAGGCACCCAGTTGGTGACATCTTTGCAGGATGTTGATGGGTAAGTCAGAAGGTCTTTCCAATGCCCCTCAGTGAACACTTTGCTGAGCACCCACTGGTGGAAATCTGGAGGGAGCTCTCCTGTCCTTGATGGATGAGGTCAGAGGCCTGGAAGAAGAAAGGCAAGGGCCATGAGAATGTCACCAATAGCTAGCACATTCTCTAACATGTTCCTCTAAACTCTAGCTGACCATACACAGCCGCATTTTTTGAAATGCAAGTGGAAAAGTGAGAGGATTATTTCAGTTTTCCAAGCTCATTTCTTCCCACTGACAAGAGAACTGGGAGATTCTGGCTATCAGCAGAAATGTCAACAATCAAGCCCAGTTGATCTCAACACGCTCCAAGAAAAGGGTGTGCATGTGCATGTGTGTGTGTGTGTGTGTGTGTGTGTGTGTGTGTGTGTCCTGGGGCAAGGCCTGGATCGGCTAGTATGGAACAGGGGACTCTGGGGGCTTAGGGTAGCAGCTCTTTATCATCCCATTCAGAAATATTATGTTTATGTACTTTCACAATAGGTAGAGCCAAGTGGAATATGTCACACAGTCTAAGTCCAGAACATCTTACCTCTTTCTGTGCCCATCTTTATATTATTCCTAATGATGACTATGTCAGGTTTGCAAAGAAATCAAGTCAAGGTGCAAGGTGCAAGGTCTACCCAGGGAGCTGCCTTTCTAAAAAGTCCTTTGCCCAGAGTGAGCATTTATACCAGGCTCTATTAATTCATCAGGTGAGCAAGGAAATAATGAAAAGTGATTAAAATTATTTATTTATTAAAAAAATTTTTTTTAATGTTTATTTATTTTTGAGAGAGACAGAGACAGAATGAGAGTGGGTTAGGGGCAGAGAGAGAGGGAGACACAGAATCCGAAGCAGGCTCCAGGCTCTGAGCTGGCAGCACAGAGCCCGACGCGGGGCTCGAACTCACGGACCGTGAGATCATGACCTGGGCCGAAGTTGGATGCTCAACCCACTGAGCCACCCAGGTGCCCCAAAGTGATTAAAATTATTAAGCAATTAATATAGCCATACAGATACCTGGATAGGTGGACCCTGTTGCATTCCTTTTGCCTGCTCTGAGAGGATGGGCTCATGATGTTGGCTGAGGTGAGAGGACACGGCATCATCCTTATATGGTAAGTGGATCACAAGTGTGTGTGGTGTGTGTTCCCTTAAATGGTAGAGGGCGGTGTAATGTTAGCTCAGGACCTATGATTTCTGCTTCTTCTTGCTTCACAGGAAACAATGCCAAGGACAGAGGGATGTGTTGGACCTGCAGCTGTCCCACCCAAGTTAATTCTGACTTGTCTTCTCTAAATACCCTTTGAGGATTTTAAGAACTTTTTTTTTTCTCTTTTCATCTTGGGGCTTGTTGATCTGGAAGCCACTTCCATGATAATACTACTTTACATATACTTATTTGTATGCCCCTTTACAGATGACAATGTCCAGTGTCATGCTGTCATAGAAAGGGCACTGAATGAGGAGGAAGGTAGTTTGGGTCCCAGGACAGCTGAGGAATCACTGATAAAGTCACTCTTTCTTCACAAACTCCAACCTTAGATATGCTGTGTATCACACAGTTGTTTCGTTTCACAATTCAATGCCTGAAAACCTTTGGAATGGGGAGCAGTGTGGTAGGAGGCTGCATCTAGAAAAAAGAGCCCCCCACACAAGACCCAAACCGACCACTTAACTGGCTGAGTAACCTTGGGCAAGGCCTAAAACCTATCTGGGCAACAGGATTTTAGCTGAAACATAATACCAGGCTGCCCTTCCTGCTTCTAGCGACGTATTAGGCCTCACCACCCTCGCTTTGCAGTCAGAGAAAGGATGGGGCCGGCAGGGTAGGCCTATTAATAGGGCCCCTGGCTGCTCTGGCTTCCTGTCAGGAGAGCCTCCAGAGCCCGCTGGCGCCTGCCTCCGCGCATCCCTGCAGGGAATTAGCAGAGTGGTCTCCCCTTGCACCTCCACCGCCACCTAAGGCCTAACCCTCCCACCCGCCTCCACAGGAAGGGTGGGCGGTAGTGGCTCCCATAGGGGGAGGCGCCCTGGGTGCGGGGCAAGGGCGGAGGCACCCTGGGGAGGGGGATTTACAAGTCTTCTTCAGGGACAGCTTCGAGCCCTACTCCTAGGGAAAACACAACCTAAAAGGGTAGTGATATTGGCTCTAAGAAGAGTAATTGAGAAGGAAACAAATGTAGGCTTCTCTTCCGCCCTCGCTAAATCCTCCATTCTCTCGCGGGACAAAGGAGAACTAGGAGTGTGGAGAGGAGGAGGAAGTACGTGCCAGACTCTTGGCCCCAGGCGAACCAAGGGCAGAAAGTAGAGAAAAAAAGTATCCCTAACTTAATGCCACACGTCTTCCTTCCCCCAACTCTCCAGTAGTCGCCAAACAACCTCTGTACGTCCCCCTCCCTCCAAAGTGTCTCCATCCACCCAGGACTGTCGGACAGGCGCGGAGACGGCCCGGGTTGTCGTTGGTCCACTTGAGGTGGGCGCGCAGCCCTCTCTTCAGCTTCCTCCTCTTCCTCCACCAGGAGGGGCTGCAACCCGCGGGGTCAGAGGCGGAGCAGAGGCTGGGGGCGCTCCGGCGAGAAGAGGGAGTAAGTGTTTGGCAGGCAAGGAGTGTGGGTCTCCCGGGGAGACGTGGACGCTCACCTGAGCCCAGCTCGGCCCGCTGAGATGGGCTCCTTCTCCTCCGCGCTGGCGCGGTCCCGCAGCGCTGTGGTGCAGTTGGGCTCGTCTTCACCGCAGCTCGAGGAGCCACCGGCTGCTCCCGCTGCTGGAAGAGACCCGTTCGCCTTCCCCAAGACCCGGAGGCTAGGACCCGAGCGGGCGGAGACGCCAGACCCGTCGGCAGCCTGGGAGGCTCAGTCCGCCGCGGCGAGCCCGGAAGAGCGCGGGAAGTTAGAGAGTCTGGAGCTGTCCGCGGTGCTGAAGCGTGCAGAGAGTACGTCCCAGCCCTACTTGCCCCGGAGCGGTAGCGCCACGGGTGAGTCTTATCTCGCACAGGGATGTAGGAATCGCAGGGAGCTGCTGCCTGGAGACCTGTGGGGGGCTTCTTACCAGCAGGGGAAGAAATGAAGGCTCTGTTTCTCAACAGGATTTCAATTTCCTTGTTTTCTTGCCCATAACTTTTACAAGTTAAGATTCATTTCTGTCAATAGAGAGTTATTTCAGAAAGACCGTCTTTCACAGGGGTTTAAACAGTAGCAAGCAACGCAGTTTCCGCCATATGGATCCTTTCCCCCAGCTTTGTACTGGCGCTGGCACCAGGCAGCGAGGTCTCCCTTGTTGTCTTGGAAAGATAAGGATAAATGAGGTGCATCTTCCTATCTCCTCCCAGGGGAAATGGGAAAAGGGCAGGAGATTCCTGCTTGTCTAAGACCTTAGTTCCATGTGTGAAGAAGGAAACCAGTATTTGAACTAGTCTCTTCTGAAGGGGCTTGGGGTGTGTGTTTAGGAGAAGACATTGTTAAGGGAGGCAGCAAGGGAGAAGTGAAAAGAGCACACAGGATTCAGGACTTAGGTGGACCTAAGTCTCCACCTGCTGTTTTCATTGTGATTTTGGGCAGGATGCTGTCTTTGTGCCTCAATTTTATCATCTGTGACATAGGGTTGATAATAACTTGAACCTCACTAGGTAGCTGGAAAATCTAACCAGACACAGTGCATATGGAGTTTTGAGCATATGGAGCATAGAGCTTTGAAACTATAAAGTGCTGTGCAGATATTCAGTATTATGCCTGAACCTGATCTCTGAACCTCTTCAGCTAAAACTGAAGGGAATAGTGAAACTTTTCAATTTTTAGTTTGAAATATTCAAAGGCTCCATTTCATAGGGCAGGTCCTACTTTGTGTAAATGGGAAGAAAAGTCCTTCAGTTGGTACATGTAATTAAAAGAAAAATCTCTCACACTAGAAGTTACTAAATACATCAGCTGGCCTTTTGGTTTCACATGAATCCCCACTTTATCCCAGGCAAGGTTGTGATGGTCACTGCTATTGTCTGTTGAGTTTTCAAAAAGGACTCAAAGGATCCAGTGCACAATGTTGGTTCCCCTAAACAGAAAAGGACGAGGTTAGTGGAGAGGGAGATTGGCTTACACTTTGACTCATGAGAGGTAATTATACATGTATTCCTATTCCCTGGAGAATTTTTTTCTAAAAAATATTGTGAGTTTATCCATTAGCTTTTATTTGTTCTTGTGTTATTCAAACAACCTTCCTAAACAAAAATTAAAAGAAGATACATATACATTGCTCTTGCAAGAGGGGATTTATCACTGTAAAATATATTAGTTTTTTTCCATTCATAGGACCTGTCTATGGGGTATTAATGGAAAGAGAATGACATTTGGAGTCAGGGAACCTGGGTTCTGCTAAGCTCTACATCCTAGGGCAGAAGACCTATATTTTCTAAGCCTGTACTATTTGCTTTTTAAAAATGAGTCCAAATAGAGTTGTAACATCTCCTATTCCATGAAACTCAAAGGAAGTTATGGTGATAAAAGTGATTTGTAAACTGTAAGTACTCTAAAGGGTAAGGTATTATCAAAGTATCTGGAAGCTTAATATTTTCTAATGTATAGGATACAAATTTAGTTTTTATATAATCTTATTATGATCTATCATAGTTACAGTGGATGGAATGTGGACTTCCTTTGTGAAACTCTTTAATATTAATTTGTGTGTGTGTATGTATGTGTGTGATATTAGTTGAAATACAAATCTATATATCTACCTATGTATGTATGTAGGTATCTATCTCCATGAAAGAATATTACCATATTTTTTTTCTCACACTTTTGATGATGTGGGCAGAAGATTTGGATGTTGTGATTAATTCACACATTTACAATGCCTGGAGACCAATTCCCAGGAATTTGCATTCAGTTAATTTCTGTTCTGGATTTGATGGACACACTTTTAAATACTATTAACTTTAACTTTTTGAATGTATAAGAATTCATTTTTTCCATTCCTTCCATTTTATTTCATAAAGAAAATCACCAATTGAAAATGACATTCTGAGTTTTATATCACCTAGGATACATATGCAAAGTTATTTGATTTCTATATTTTGCTCTTTAAAAAAGTGGTATTTGAGCTTAAATCTTTGAAGTCTGATGAGTTTAGATACGTGGAATTGCAGATCGGTCTCAGTTTTATCATCTTTAAAAATGAGGTTAGTTTCCTTTACCTGTGAAGCTGGGTGGCCCTTTGTTGGATTCGATTGGATTTCTCCAAATATTGGATAGAACAGAACAGAACTGGTGAATCTGCCAGCAAAGCAACTGTGATGCACACTAAAACTTGAACTTTACAAGCCAAACTGATTGTGTGTGTGTGTGTGTGTGTGTGTGTGTGTGTGTGTGTGTGCGTGTGTAAATAAGTGCTATGTGCCAGATGCTATTTTATAAGATGGTAGATGGATACTTTTATTATTGTTTTACAGATGAAGATATTAAGACACAGAGGGATTAAGAAACTAGTCACACAGCTAGTAAATGACAGCCAGAATTTAAAGCCAGGTAGTTTAGCTCTAGAACTATGTTCTTATCCACTTCTCTATGCTACTTGTTCTAAGTGCTGTATGTTTATTTCCCATTTGTTAGTCCTTAGTTTATTATTTAGTAATGTCCTTTGAAAGTTTTATTTTGTCCCAACTATGGTCAGTGGAACCAAGAGAAATTGCACTAGTCCTGGGTGAAAGGTGTCAGAGTATTAAGGAAGAAATAGTCATCTTGGATATTGTAGTTAAAGTCAGAGAACTTTATGGGGAAAATGAGATTCAGGGTGTAGAGTTAGAGCAGTAAGGCCAGCTGTTTCTCCTCATCCAATATTAAATGCTTTAGGCCTCTGAGACTTGTTTTCTTACAGATGTTGATGGTTCCCTACTACTCTCATCATACCGTTGTGAAGATTAAATGAGATATGGTGTCAAAACCCAAGTGGAGACCTGGCATGTGTTATGCATGGGTATTTTTAAAAATTAAAAAAAATATTTATTTATTGTTGAGAGAGAGAGAGAGAGAAAGCAGGGGAGGGGCAGAGAGATAGGGAGACACAGGATCCAAAGCAGGCTCCAGGCTCTGGGCTGTCAGCACGGAGCCCAATGTGGGGCTCAAACTCACAGACCATGAGATCAAGACCTGAACCAAAGTCAGACGCTTAACCCACTGAGCCACCCAGGTGCCCCTATGAATGGATATTTTGTATGTTTGTTTCTTTTCAAAGTTTTGGGAACCCACTCATTGCTAGAAAGGAAGGAACAGCTTGGTCCATTTTTAGTAAAAGAGTACCTCAGAATAAACGAATAATCAAATAAAAAACCTTCCACAGCAATCTGTCTATTGTGTAATAATCTGCAGTAGATTATCTGAGGCTTCTAGCTTTTGTTAGAAATTCCTCTTGGGTGCCTGAGTGGCTCCGTCAGTTAAGCATGTGACTCTTGGTTTCAGTTCAGGTCATGATCTCCTGTTCGTAAGATCGAGCCACGCATCAGCCTCTGACCTGCCTAGGATTCTTTCTCTCCCTTTCTCTCTGCCCCTCCCCACTCACTCACACACACACTCTCTCTCTCTCTCAATAAATAAATAAATAAATAAATAAATAAATAAATAAATAAATAAACAAATAGAAATTCCTCTGGATGGGGAGAAACTTTGATATCATTGAGTAAAGTGATTTTTTGGTTAATGATCTGTGTATTAAAATTATTGGGGCTCTTTCAATTTTCAGATACTGTCCTTTTTTTCTTTTGTCTTGCTGTTTTAACATTTGGAAAATGTGTGTCCTGCAAGAGCTAGTTACAAAGTGCAACCAATATTTGTCAGATGGTGGTCTTGGAACATTGTCTTCCTGAATTTCATTGTTTTTGGTTTCCATCTAAGTCCTCTGTGATTCTTGATAAGGATATCACTTTTGGGAGGAAAATTTTTCCTCTACCCACTTAGATTCAAGATAAGGGTCCTGCAAATTAACTGACAATAGATTAAGGAGAAGAGAAAAGGTTTATTTACATTTGCATAAGGGAATATTTAGTAATGAGTAACTTGTTGAGTAGACAGAGGTAAAGGTTTATACACCAACTCAACAACAACAACAACAACAACAACAAAAACAAAGAGGGGTAGTTCAGGGCTGTAGTGGGCAAGTATAGAAGGTTCTATGGTGCTTTCTGGGTGCTAATAGGCAGCTGAATTTTCACAATTCCCAGTGCTAGGATCAGTCTTTTCTCACTCTGGAAACTCCCTCAAAGGAGGAGGGTCGTCAGCAGCTGAACTTTTGGGAGGCTTTGCTTAAGTTTAGGTAATGTTTATTTCTATTGCTGCCAATCAGATGTTTTTAGTTTAAAGCAAATTGTGTATAACTTTGGTGGGCTAATAATCTCTTTAGTATTATTTGCCTCTGACTCAGTCCCCTTATATGTTAGCACCAGTGATTTTCAAATTTTGGTGTTTATCATAATCACCTGGAGAGCAAATTCCAGAAGCCCAGGCTCGTGGGTATGGGATGAGGCCAGGGGTCTTAGTACTTTCTTTAACCAAATTTCCCAGGTGATTCTGTTACGACCAAAACGTGTATCACACTCACCTGGAGGCTTGTAAAACACAGAATCCTGGGCCGGAGGTGCCTGGGTGGATCAGGTTAAGCGTCTTTGACTCAGGTCATGATCTCATGGTTCGTGAGTTTGAGCCCTGCGTCAGCAGCACAGAGCCTGCTTCAGATCCTCCTTTTCCTTCTCTCTCTGCCCTTCCCCCACTTGCACATACACTCTCTTTCTCTCTCTCAAAAATAAGTTAAAAAAATTAAAAAAAAAAAAAAAAGAATCCTGGGTTCCATCTCCAGAGTTTCTGATTAGCGAATCAGTCTGGCAAACAATATGAGAATTTCCGTTTCTAGCAAGTTCCCAGATGCTGCTAATGCTGCTGGTCAAGGGATCACACTTTGAAAACCACTGGTCAATGCATAGAAGCCACCTAGAAA